AAAAAAAACGCGATTATATTAAAAAAAGTTGTGATTACGATTTTTAAGCTTAGTGCTCAACATAATCCCTCTTGAATCATCCCTATCACCCCCCAATAAATCATACAACGGCGCAGTCCATTTTAAACCAATGGGAGCACAGGTAGAAATGATTGACAGGTCAAATGACGTCACTTACGTGACGTGATTCACGTCACGATGAGGAAAACCATTTTGCACTGGACAGTACGTACTTATTTGGATACATTAATGTTTTCTTAGTGTTTATAAGCGTGTTATTCAGACATCTCAGACAAAGTAGCTTCTTTCCTATACCCAGCAGACGCCCCAGTCTGAATTGAAGGAGGTGAATCTCCTTCCACCCCTTCTGCCGATTATCATTCTGGCGACGTCGTGTCGCCCTGTGTGAAAAGTTAGAATTTTTTGTTGATTTTTAAACAATGTTAATTTTCAATTTTAATCACTTGATTTCAGTCTTTCTGTGCTTGTCTTGTGAGAATGATGGTTTTTTCCTGCAACACGGAATAACGATAATGAAAGGTTATGTGCGAAGCGGATCAATTAAGGAAACGCAAGAAGGCTTCACCGACAAGTACCCTGACATTAACCACCTGCTAAACGGTGCATTCAGAGTCTTGTGCCGAAGTGGTGCCAAACCGACCCTGTCGCAAAAACGAAGAAATCGAGGCGTCCAAAGTTGTCGGTGCCATTCAGCAGCGGGTTGAAAATAGCCCTCAAAAATCAAGTCAGAGATTGTCTCAGCAAGTTGATGAATCACAAACGACGTGCCAGCGGGTGTTGAAGTTTTTGCATATGAAACCATATCGAGTAACATTTGTGCAAAAATTGAAAGAGCACGACAAAGGCTAACATGCTGCGCGGTGCCCAGATATACATAGAGATGGAGGGTAATCACTTTCAGCATCTGTTCTAGCATGTGGGTAATTCACTAAAGATTTAGACAAGCAGTCCACTTGCTCATTCTTCATGTCTATTGGCAGGCTACTTTTCTTTGGGCCACCCTGTAGATATTTTTCAAGCAGTAGACTGCTTTATTCAGGCAATCAACAAACAGGTTCTGCCAATAGCATCCAGTGACTTCCACATCACTGACAAGTCTTACACACTGCTGGTGACTACACTGAAGGACAGTGAAAATCTGAAATGCTTTTTTTACAGATTGTAATTTCAGGGTTGCCACTATTAAAATTCCAACCCTTGTATGTGTTTAAGGATAAAATTGCATCAAAACAAATTAATTTTATTCAAAACATTACTCAGAATAACAAAAGCTCAAATTTATGCAAATTAAAACTTTTTATAATTTTTCTAAACAATGTATTGAAAGCATTGCTGCATGCAGTCAACGCTGACCAAAATTAATATTAAAATTGATTGTACAGTCGACCCCCCTATAACACAGTATATACGTTCTGTTCTTTATGAAATTGATGTTCTAAGAGTCCTTGAATACATGAGCCAATCACAGCCTGGCATGTATGCAGTTTATGGACTATGGCTGTTTGAAAGGTTTTCTTCCATAAAATTAATTGATTCAACTCAAACAGACTAATTCAACTCAACATTTCTAAAATATGTATAATTTTTTGGGAATAATCCATATAAACTATGCTATAAACAAAAAATTGTTTATAGCATAGTTTATATGAGTTTGCACCATTCTATGACGCCATTGCTTAAACTTGTTTTCATCGTGGAGCTTATCATTGAATGGCGCTCGCGTGCTTCCTGATAAATTATTTTTTTTGCGAAAAATTTGCTGAACTTTGGAGACATCATTAATATAAATATAATTTTTATGGATGTTAAATAATAAATGGTTTTTAGTAGGTCCGCTGCTCGTTTAAACTCAACAGTTTGTACAATATCTGCTATTGGTCTAGATTCAACCAATCCTGTCGTGACATGAGTCGGTGATGACGTTTTACTGAATTATACAAGTATTTTAAGCATGTTTGTATGAATACAGTCGCAACTTTTTCATCGTGATATAGGAATCTGAACTATAGGAACCCGTATTATAGAGGGAGTCGACTGTATGTCATCGTCTTGTCTTAATGTAATAATACAATTATTAAACAAAAAACAATTGATATCCAAACAAAAAAATCTGAGATTAAAAAGATTGCACCCTAAAAACTTATGACAATTTAGATGACAGTCAATATTTTTCTTAGGAGTCTTTCTTTGGTAAAAATAAGCTTGAAACTTTGAAGCAGTACTCAAAAGACTTTTACCTGTATTATTATTTTCTGCATTTCACTTCAAAATGCCAAGCTTACCTTTACCAAAGAAAGACCCCTAAGAAAAATTTTGACTGTCATCTAAATTGTCATAAGTTTTTACTTGGTGCAACTTTTTACTTCTCAGATATTTTTGTTTGAATTTAATATTTCTGAAATCAAAAAATTTTTGAAAAAATTCTAAAAAAATAAAAACTATTTTAAAAAGACAAAATTCAAATGCTACTTATTTTACAAACTCCAATAATTTATTTTAATAATTTATATATTTTTACTGATAATTATGATGTAAAAATAAAAATTATTAAACATAGAGTGAACTTATAACTATAATTAAGAACACATATTACTCTAGTCTAATTCTGTAAAATATAATTAACTGAATTTTGTTTTATTTTACTTATGTTATAGTCAGAGCTAAAGGTAATGAAAACCATTGAATATTTTTTTATAGAAAATAATCTGGTCTTCACTTAATATGAATTATATCATCAGAAACTCACTTAACTGATGATATATCACAGGGCTCAGGCAAGTAGGGATACTTGCCTGGAGATCCAGAAAAGCATCAAAAATAATGCTCCCCCAAAAATAATTTTTGTCTTATCAAAATGATTTATTTTACTAGTTATTTAGAACTTGGATATATTAATTACCTGCATTAACAACGCGACGATCTGCAAAATGATGGGCCAAAAATGTTCCGTATTTCACTAATATCTCTTGGTAACCTAAACAGAATAATTAAAAATAATGAAAATGCATATTACACTTTTCTATTTTGATAAATATTTGATATTGCATAACCTGTCAAATTTTCTATTGGTGAAGTTGGAGGGAAGAATGAACGAAGAGCATTACAACAGCGAATGCATGCTTCAACATAAAAATCAGGTACAAATCCAAAAAAATCATCTGAATTAGATGCCAATTCTAATGTTCTTAATAAAATTTGTAAAATCCAATATACATCCAATTGCTTCTCCTATAAATAATTATGTAATTTAATAAAGTTAAAATTTATTTTCTTGTTGTTTTATTAAAATTATTGAAAATATTACATACTTACAGAAGCATATACCACAACTGATATCCATGCTTGATGCCTCGCTTGTTCTGTTAATTTGCATATGAAAACTTCTTTTGTATGTTTTAAGGCAATTTCAACTTCCACATCATTTGGATTATGACGTTTTTCTATGTCTTTTAAAGCCATTATATATTCTTGCATACTGTCTCTCAATGAGCACATCTTTAAAAAGTTTTTATTACATTTATTAATGTATAATAATCATATATTAAAATATTTATTCTTTACATTTATATCATTTAATTTAAATATACATACAGTAAATGCTTATTATATGTATTATATTGAGTTGAGCATGAATACAAAGATGTTCACATTCTCAAATATAGCTTAAATGTAAGCACTCTTACTAAATATTTATATTACTATGTGCAACGTGTTATAAAATAGTTGATTTTTGAAAAGATTTATACACAAAAAATGTTTTTAAAACATATATCACTTTCTTATTACTATTTTTCAATGAAATATCGAGTAAGGAACCTAATTTGTCTTCTTAATAATTATCATTCATAAGCAATAAACAAGTTTTTTTTTATCTATGTAATAAATTGCTTTTAAAAAAATAAAAATTCAAACTGATGGATCAAATATAGAAGCTATTGCAAATATTTATCGGATTATTGATTAAACAATTAAATAAATATCTGAGTAGATAATTTTGGGATTAAGATAAATGAGTAATAATATTTTGATAACATCAGTAATTTACTACATTACATTAAAATAGTTTAGTCTTTAATCAAATAAAAAACCCTGAAAATAATCTCTATATTTACTTTAACATAAACACATTACATATATTATGAATTATCTTATTAGGCCATATACATATAGGTATTCATCTGTGTTTATTATTTCGTGTGTGCACATGTATATACAAACACAGTAAAACCTGTTTAAAATGGAGTATCACAGTACTAGCCAGATTATCAGAACTCTGTTTTATGAAGGATTATGGTAATATTTAATAACAAAAACAAAGACACTGAGTTCAGCATTACATGCATACGTTTTTTATCGCAAGCACTTTCAACAAACTTATAGTCGTCGTCCTCAGGCGAATACAGATATTTACCAAAAAATTTTAAACAAAAATAATCGAATGCAGAATAGAACGCATAAGATAAGTTGAAACTATGTTAAAGCCGTTAAGAACACGAAGTAAATATTTAAACATAATTCGAAAGCCGAACGAGCAGTTAGCTCCGTGAAGTGCGAGCTGGCGCATGCGCAGAGCCATGCTCACGCTACATGCTAATACTCGCTTAATGCTTACACAGCGTGACCCATACACTAGGCAGCTCGAGCGTAGGAGTGTTGCAAGTGTCCAAGGTAGTAGTGAGGAGAGATTCCCATATAAAAACAGTTTTTTGATCCTTGCAGCTCTTGAGCATAACCGCTTGGGACCATAGCGGGTTGTAACCCTGCTCAAGTACCTTTCTTGCGAGCTCGGTGGTGTGTCATCCCCTCATAACATCGTCTTGGTGCTTATCAAGGCGGCTGGAAAGCATTCTAGTGGTGGCCCCGATATATCTTGTGTTTACTCCCGTTGCATGATTTTCCAAAGGTACAGCATAGACCCCCGATTTCTCAAGAGTGGAAAATTTGTCTCTATCGTTACAAATAAGTTTGCGTAGGCTTGGAAGTGGGGTTAAAGATAGTACAAGATTGCGCTGCTTAAAGATTCTGCATATGCGTAAAGATAGGGGTCCAAGGTAAGGCAATGCTATTCGTACCTTCGAAGACACTCTCTTGCTGCATAATGTAGTACTTGGAAATAGTGCTTTCTTTACCTTATTGAGCACATGCGTAAATTTTGCACATGAAAAGCCAGCAGCGCATACCGCCAAATTGATGATATCTAACTCAACGTTTATCAGCTCCTGTGTGGACGACAGTAATAAGCCCTTCTGACAAGGGAGGCAATGGCAGCATTAACGTACTGAGAAGGCTGAAAGGCCTCTGCTGGTATAATGTGTGGAGCTATGCTAGATTTGTGATGGACCGAGAATTGTAGTCCTTCCGAAGATTTACGTATATGCAAGTCTAAGAACGCTACTTCTGCATTGCTTTCTTTCTCCCAAGTGAAATTGATGGAAGGATATATACTTGAGAGTTGTTGCATAAATATTTCTAAAAATATTGCTAAAAATCTATTAAATTTGAAAATGTAAATTATATTGTTAATTATATTGACAATAAATGGACTCAGTAATTTAAGATAGCACTTCTTCAATAAAATGTGTCATTAATTTGAATCAAGTTTTTGTAATTATTAAAATATTTTTTGTTCTATGTAATTCTATAGTCATCATACATAAATGGAATTTCTGTATTTAATGGATCAAGCCTATTGAAGTAGTAGAATAATGAGAATTCAACCCCAAAAATTTAGAAAGATGAAAATTTGAATAAATGTTTAAAAATTCAGTTAAAAAGTTAAGAAATTTTAAAGTCTAAAAAATGGCATTTACTTATTTTGTCCTAAAAAATTCAGTTATTGTTTAAAGTACTGTACATGTTTAAAAGTAAATACAGTAGAGAGTCGATTTTCTGAATCAATTGGGGACTGGGGTTGTCCGGATAACTGATTTACGTACGAAAAAATAGTTTAATGTATCCGATGTCAAAATTTTTATCCGTTGCGTGTCGTTTCGCGTTGAATTTTCGCCGATGTTAAGCCTAACAGAGACTATTGTATCATTAAAAATTATTTTTTTATTTTGTACAAACAAAATAAATATATTGAAAAATATAAAAATAATAAAAAATTATACTTCAGATGTTAATTTAGTATCAAAAACGTAATATATTTCATTTGATTCTGATGAAACCGTGTT